CCCAGGACAACAGGGCACTGCTTTGCAGACTGGTGGAGTGATGCTTCACTGTCAAAACAATGACATGTGATGGAGTGAAATAGAAGATTTCCATAAATATAGACACTGAATGGAAAATGTTTGGAATCTCTGGATGCCATAAATGGTTACGTTCTTGACTATTAGCCAAAACGTGAGTGGTTTGGACCCGCTTAGAGGGGTCTCAGAAAACAGAGCTGGGGTTCTCTTCTGTTAAGTTCAGTCTTGAAAGCACTGTGTAGTACAATTCTACTCTGCCACACAGGAGTCAGAATCAACTTGATGTCAACTAGCAATAATACAGCATGTTTGCCCTATGGTCAGTCATTCAGGTATAGAAACAGATATATCTTCTCTTGTCTTAGCTAATTCAGTGGAAAATTCTGAGCAGCTTCTAGTTTCTGTGGGAAATAAGGGAATTTCCCTCATTCTTCTGTCTGTGCTTGACTTTGAAAAACGAGTGATAGAACACAGAGGGCAAGGTGGTGATGATGCTAAAGGTCCTGAGGAAAGTGAAAAGGAGCTTTTAGATGGGACCTTAACTGAAGGGGCCAAGCAGACTTGGGTCAATGACCCGGGCTGGCCACCAGTAATCAAGGTTTGTGGTCAAAATTGTTGGCCAATAAAGACAGTTTGTGGAAGCCCTTCTGTTTCTAAAACCTGCAGCTCAAGGAGTAAATTCTGGGATTAGCTATCTCAACCTGGTATCTTTCTATCTTGCCACTGGCTTCCCATGGTTCCTTTGGAGTCAGTTTCCCAGAAGAGGGACAGGGGTTCCACTTTGGAGGGGTAGAAGCATCACAATATCACTTAGACACAGGAGGGACCCTTTCGGAGGAAACAGCCATAAAGTCATCTGCTCAAGGACACATAGTTGAAATCTGCTGAGCGTCAATATCCTTAGTGAAATGATAGGAACTATGGGAGGAACAGTTCACAAGGAACTACCATTCCCAAGCCTACGTGCAAGGCTACTACATACTTCATCTTCCATTATTCCCACAACAAACCAAAAGGGAGGCAAGATTTCTCAAAGAGTATGAAGTCGGATAATAAATAAGGAAGACTGAAGGAGAATTGATGCCTTGAATTATGGTGTGGTAAAGATCCCTGAATATATTACGGACTGCCAAAGGAAAAAAAATGTTTTAGTAGAAATATAGCTAGAGAGCTCCTCAGAAGCTAGAATGATGGGGTGATGGTCACAAGCATCTATAGAGAAACTCACTCCCTAAGTCTATTACTGTAAACCTTCTCCCTTAATTTAATCTCCACAAAATGGAACCAGCTGGTTGGTAACAACAGTTAAATCCAGCAACATTGTCCTCTTTGATGATGACTGTAATTCAAAGACTGTTTCACCTGAATAACCGGGTACAATAGCTACAACACAGCACATGAGAACTTGAGATTTAAAATCAGATGACCCTCATTTAGAATCTTCGCTCTCACCGTGAATTAACCTTGGGTAATTTGATTTACTTATCTTATCATTACTTTCCTCATTTGGAAAATGGAGGGATTAACTGTTTACTCTGAGATTCAAATGACAGTGAAAGCAGAACAATGAATAAGGAGGACAAAGAATGATCGATGCCTTTGAATTACAGTGTTAGTGAAGAACACTGAATATGCCACCAACTTCCAGGAGAACAAGCAAATCTGTTTTGGAAGAAGTGCAACCCAAATTCTCCTTAGAAGCAAAGATGATAAAATACTTTGGACATGTTATCAAGAAGGGCCAGTCTTTGGATTAGTTGGGCATCAGAAACAAGTGGAAAACCCTCAATGAGATGGATTGACATAGTGTCTGCAACAATGGACCCAAACACAGCAATGCTTATGAGGAAGACACAGGACTGCAAAGTGTGTCCCTCTGTTGTACACAGGGTCACTATGAGTTGGAACCAACTTGGTGGTATATAACATTAGAAAATACTCGGCATATAGAAACCAACTTTAGGTATTGATGATCCCAGGTTTTGCAAATGAATGAACTGTAGCCCAAAAGGTCAAATGCCTGAAGGTCATTTGCCTTGTGCCAGAGCCAAGATTGAATAATCTGTCTGATTTAAGAGTCAGATATACACAGAGAATCAATTTGAGAGGGCCGATTTTGCATCACCAGAAAACACATATATTCCCTCCCCCTCCACCCCGGTAGCTCCTTGATTATAGGGAATATATAATGCACCTTAAGAATATTTCCCTGCAAGATACAACATCTGAAAATGTGGACATGTTTTAAGAGTGAACTTCAGTTATTTCAAATGTTCACTAACACAGACCAGTTCCAGAATCTTCAATGCCAAAATTCAGAGCTATTGTGCAGGTCTCTCTCCACATCAGGGCTTATTAGAACATTAACCTCAGAGTCTTGGAAACCTTTCCATTTTATAGACACTGGGTTTGTTTTTTTTCTATTGTGGCTAGACAGGATAAATTAAAGGTATTTTCCTTGATACCATTTCAGTTTCCATTGAAGTCGTGGAACAGTGCAAAATTTGAAACACAATGCATACAAACCACATTGGTGCTGTAGATTTTTTAGTCTGGGCTGGGAGAAAGCCAGGTAGTGTAAATATTGGTCTGAGGAGATTAACTAGCAAGGCAATAAATTCAGAATAGGCTGCCCCTTTCATCAATAACCTAAGAAAACAAGCTAATGGAATATCTAAGGTTTCTAAAACTCAACCATAACATATTACATATAGCATTGGCCTTCTAGTTTAACAGGCTTTTTCCCCCCCAAACTAATTGAGGCCAGAGCAACTTAAAAGTTTTTAAAGTTTATTTTAAATTTATATCACAGACATTTGACTGATATTTGCTCTAGTTTTCCATTCTTACTAGATCTCAGAGTCACCTTATATTTAATGCATTGTGTTACTTGCTATCATCCAGAAATAATAGATATAATTGGAAAATATGATTGGAAAGCTAACCCTTTGGAAGGAGAACATATTAATGAGAGATCTTATGGAAGATTACCCACATATTCTGCTTCAGGGAAACAAAGCCATTTCTTTCTGAGCATTTATCCAAGCTAAGTCTTTACCTGCACCTCTTTTTGCTTCATGATTTGTCCTTCAAGGAGGCACACATCTGACACTGAGACATTGTTGATCCTTAATCGCAATCCAATTTGTACATTATTCCAACACTGGCTGTTTGGCTTTAGGATACTCTAAACCCACACTGTAAGTTTACAAAGACCACAAATCAGGACATTACAGTTCCTCTTTACAGGCACAGGAAGGAAAAGAGAGAAGGACCACTCAGCGGAATATTCATTAATTTGCTTGATAAATATTTTGACATACGACAGAAACACATCATCTCAAGCCAGACACTGCTGTTCTCTGTTTATAACCAGGAGGCTCAGAGAGGAACCTGCTGGTTGATGCAGATGTGGATGAACAAGGACCTTCTCCCAGTGAAGGTGCAGGGTAGTTGTGCTGGGCATTTTTCGCCACGGGTGCAGAGCCACATCTTTACACCCCATTTATGACCCTTAAGTGAGACACCTTGATCCCCCCTCCCTATAGGGTTTCCTTTCCAGAGCTTTCTCTGTAGGCAATAGCACCTCTCAAATTCAGCTCTCAAGAATATAATCCATAGCCCTTCTCCGCTGAGATGGAAAAATATTTGAAAACTTGGATTAGGCTTTTAGCAAATCAGGACAGATACACAACCAAGGTGTTAGGATTTCTTTAGACAGGCTGCTGTCGACAGAACTTTTCCCAGAAATTACATCTTTTGTGACCTACACTAGATACATGTCTGATCTACTTTAATGGAGCCACAAGAGACCATTGAGTGTCTGTGGAAAATAATGCCTGAGGCAAGCAGGGGAATTATGGTCCCCTTCAAACACCTGCCATTCATCTTTTAGAAAATTTTTCCATATATAAGCTAAAAAAATACAAATCAAGCTTGTTCTTTTACTTAATACACTATAGCTCTACATGAAAATTTCAACTGGCACTTTCCTTGCTTTCAATGATGAAAATTGCTCAAAGTTATTTTATTTTTCTATTTCTTTTCTTTCTACACTCAGCAGAGCAGTCCCAGACTTTTCCTGCTGAGGCAAGTAAGTGCTGGAGATCTTGGTGCAAGACTTGTATGCCCAAACTACTTTGCTGCTATTATCTGTTGGCCGACTACTGGTCAACCCATTAGTCATCCTGCCTCCTGCTAGACAGAATGCTTTGTAACCAGATGTAGGAGGTGCAGCAGAGCACAGACAGTAAGGGGACCCTCAGGCCGACTGTGAGATTGCCTGGGTCTGAGGCCACCCCAAAGAACAGAGCAGGAAGGCTGGCAGGAGCCTTTAAAGAGGTGGAGGGTGAAATACAGTAGGTCTGCATAACCACACTAAAATGAATACTCCTCTGCCCCACCACAGATCCAGTTAGATAATAAACAAGTTTTGCTGTCCTGGGATGACCCGCCACCGCGCCCCTCCTCTTAGCACCTGGATAACCTGAGCTAAGATTGCAAGCAGTAGTCTTTTAGGAGAAAGAGGAAATAAAATATCAGTCTACCTTGATCCACCGAGGAGCTCTACTAAAGTACTAGTTTTAACTTGCTGAATGATCTCTCGCAGCTGGCGGTGGAAACAGCAATGGTTAATAGAAAGTGCTCAGTGGCGCCCCCCTCCAAGTGGTGCCCGGGGCACGTGCCATACCTGCTCTGGCTTTGAAATTCAAGCTGCAGCAGACTGAATTTCAGTCACTGAACTTGGCGTGAAGGAATACCTAACTTTGATTCAGTTTCAATCACACTCCTTAATTCACAGGGCTGAGTTCCCCGTCCCCGGAAATGGGAAGGGGATGGCCTAACGACAGTCCAGTCCAGTTCGTCCCTAGGTTTTGGAAATCTAAGCCCCTTAGATATTGGGGTGCTGCAACCTGAGAGTGGGTGAGCAGCACCCACTTAAAGAGCCCAGGTCTCCTGTTAGCTACCTGACTGCTGTCCAGTCCTCCCCGACCATCGGGTCGCCGCGCAGCGGTGGAAGGTCTTGGCTGGGGTGCCTATGCAGGTCCCTTTGCGGCCACAGCGGGGTTTGGCCCAACCTCAGCGGCCACAGCTCTGCCCGAGGCGGGCGGGCTAGTTCCGCCACCGGGACCGCGCGCCGCCCTTGCCGTGCCAACAAAGCTGCGCCTCGGCCCGGAAGGAAGCTCCGCAGCCCTTACCTGGTGCGGCCCGTCCCGTGCGCCGCGGGGCTCTGGCTTGCTGGTCGCCGAGCTGGCTGCTGCCGTGGGCACTCGCCGAGGAGCTTCCCCGCGGGAGGAGCGCGGGTGCGGAGCGCTGCCCAGGCCCGGCTTCGCGCGCATCGGCCAGGCTGCGGCTGAGTCAGCGCCCGGCAGGCGCGGGCGAGCCCCGGCCGGCCGCCTAGAGGGGGCTCTGCGCGGAGCCGCGGCCGCCCTGGCATTTTAAAGACGAGGCAGCTGGATGCTGTTCAAGCGGAAGCGCAGAGAGAAACTTGAGCCTCGGAGCCAGGCGTGGGCAGCGCGGGAGGGGGCCTGACAGCCCCACTGAGGCGCACGAACCAACCTGAGATCTTCTGACCTGCTCTTCAAAAGCATTCCCTCTTTTACAAGAACAAACATACTGCTTTCAAAGCATCCGCCTGCAGTATACTTCAGAGACACGAGAAACATTTTCCTTGAAGTTAAGGGAAAGACTGACAAGTCCAGTCACTACCACCAGTCTTAACCAATATTAGGTAAGTCTCGTCAGTGCAACGAGACAAGAGAGGAAATAACATGTAAATACATTGGAGTTATGCCGGGAGGATGGGGAATATTATTGGAAAGCAGGAGAATATGATTACTATTCTTGCCGATCTAGCTGGAAAATCCAAGTGCACCAAATGAAGATAAACGGAAATGTTTTAAAATAAATTGGCTGATTACAAAATAAGCATAGTGTTCCTGTGTCTTAATAGTCAGTTAGAAAAGAGAATTCAAATTTTATTCTCAATATAACAGAACGATAGGAACATCCATTTGTAAGGCGACAGTGTTCTACTATTTTGCGGGGAAAAACCAGCTCCTACTTTCTTCCAAGGGACTAAGGGAGGTTTAGATCTATTAAATTGCAAGTTTTATCCTTGGATACAGAGAAATAAGCACTGCAGTGCTCTCATGTCTTACTTGTCTGTAAATTCAATGCACCACCCCCCTTTAAATTCCTGATAGTAGTTTCCTTTTAATTTGGAATAAGGCTTCTGTGTCTCATCTAGGAGTATAAAAACAGAGGAGTCAAGAAAAAAAAAAATGTTGCAAAAGAAGAGGATAAGGTAACTTGCTCTTCTGTGTGTATGAAAATGAAGGTGTGCATGCGTACATGAATAAATGAGAGTCAATAGCTACACCATTGACTGCTTATTAGTTAAGGATATGTTTTGCATATGTTATGCATTTTATTCATCACCAACCCCCTTATGATACTGAGGCCCAGTCAGGAAGGTTCGGAATCTCACTCAAGGTCATACAGACAGAAGTAGGTCAGGGATTTGATGCAGGTGTTCTGCCATCAGAACTTAGAGGGCTTAAACTTTGTGGCACTCTATTATGAAGCAATAGTAATTAAATAGTATGTTACAGGACCAGCAAGGATAGGTCAATGGGGGAGAGCAGTGACATCTCCCTTCCAATTTGCCCACAGTTCTTTAAAAAAATGATAAAGTGATAAATTTATTGGAAAGATGGATTTTTTCAATAGATGATATCGGGATAACTGGATTGCCTTAGTGGGAGATCAAACCACAAACTCATTGCTGTCAAATTGGAGTTGATTCACAGCTGATCCACCAATGAGTTTTTTTGAAGCTGTTTGCCTCTGTTTCTCCTGTCATGACAGTAGATTTACACTGCTAAAAAGATGCAGCCTTTGTGTCAACAATATAATAGACAGTTGATTTCATCCTTTGTTCTCCAGACCCATATAAATTTCAGATTAGTTAAATATTGACTGCAAAAAAGGTGAAGCCATAGAACAATTAGATTAACATACAGATGTATGTTAGAGATGAACATGGGCATTGAAGCCTTCTGAAAAATACCATTTGGCACTTTTAATTTATTACCTTGATTGGATAGGCTATAGAGAGTTGCTCTGTTAATAACGAAAGGCTGTGCCCCTTTGGTAGTTCAAATTCACCAGCAGTTTCTCTTGAGGAGGATGGCCAATCTCCTCCCATGTGATTTAAAGCCTTATAAATCCAAAGGATGATCAACTATGAGTCAGTTCCGATTGGATAGCAAATGAGAGAAGAGAGGAATCATCAATAAATCACAATGGATAGAAGGGCACCCTTAAAGTCTACATTTTACAGAAGCAGCAGCAGGACAGAGAAGTTAAATAGCTTTCCAAAGATTTCACAGCTGGGAGATGGGGGAGCTTAAATCATAGCAGTTTTGCTCCAGAGACTATGTTCCTAACTGTTACACTAGGCTGGGTGTCTAATGGATCACATCCATAATGTGCAACCTCCTGTAATTGTTACCATATGGTTATGCCCTGGCTTCAGTCTTTTTTACCCAGCCAAAGAACTCAGCCAGGTAAAGGGGAATAGAGGGGATATTTGAGCTACAGAAGCAGCACAGTGTACAGTAATTTTAGTGGCCCTTGAAAGAAAGAGCCTTTGTTACAGCAGCTGGGACCAATGGGACATTCAGCTTGCCAAGAGGAAAGGGGAGAGGTGGGAATAAAGGTGAGAGTAAAGGCAATTTATTAGCAAAGAGAAAACAGTCTACTCTCCATTGAAAGGGTAGAAGGGAACATGACAGTTACATTCCTGAGGAAGGAATGGATCTTTTCAAAAGCAAAGATACAGAGAAGACCCCGTGGCCCCTAAGGTCCTAGCTGGCTTGATTCCTCATTTGGGCATGCTTTATACTAAAGTCTGGGCCAATGGGATAATATCTTGGAGAGTTCAATGTTTGGTGGATGTTTCTTACTCCAATTGGTTGTTTTTCATGTCATTGGTAACATGACATTGCTTCAGGGCAGTCTGGTTTTAGTTACTTTGTTTGATCTTCGCCTTTAACAGGAGGGGTTTTCTTTTTTCCTTCCTTATATCATTGGTATCCTCCTCAACATTTTTCCTTCCAGGCCTCTTCTCATTTTGCCTGACTTACCCAATTCTGCCCAAACATAATCATTGTTGTTGTTATGTGCCATTGAGTTGCTTGCAATTCATAGCAACCCTATGTACAACAGCTCTGACACCTGCTCTATTGTGTGCCAACCTTATTGTCTCTGACACATCTACCCCCATTACTCCAGTCACTGAGTTAATCCATCTTGTTGAGAGTCTTCTTCTCTTGTGCTGTCCCTCCACCCTCCCAAGCATGATGTTCCTTTCCAAGTATAGGTCCCTCCTTGCAAAATGCCCAAAGTATGTCAGAATCCTTGCTTCCAAAGAGCAGCCTGGTTTCACCTTCTCTAGGACGAACCTATTTGTTCTCCTAGCAGTCCATGGAATATTCAACACTCTTCTCTAGAACCACAGCTCAGAGCAATCAATTCTCCTGTGATACCCGTCTTGTCACTGTCCAGCTTTCTGATGCATAGCAAGCAATTGCAAATAATATGGCCAGCATAAGGTGCACCTTAGTCTCCATACTGATATTATGGCTCCTCAATACTCTGGAAAGGTCCCTGACAGCAGAGTTTCCCCAATGCAATTTGTCTTTTGATTTCCTGGCTGCTGGTACCAAGAGTGTTGACTGTGGAGCCAAGCAAACTAAAGCTGCTAATAATCTCAATCTCTTCACCATCCATCATGATGCTGCCAGTCAGCCCAGTGGTGAGAATCTTTTGTTTTCTTGATTTTGAGCTTCAATCCAAATTGATGGCTGTAGTCCTTGACGTTCTGCAGCAAGCGCTTCCGGTCCTTCTCAGTTTCAGCAAGCAGGGTTGTAGCATCTGCATAATGCAGCTTGTTGATGAGTCTTTCTCCAATCCTGATGCCACATTCTTCCTCATAAAGCCCTTCTTCCCGAATGATCTGTTCTGCATATAGATTGAGAAGGTGTGGAGAGAGGACACATCCCTGGCATACACCCTTCCCGATTTTGAACTATGCAGCGTTTCCTTGCTGTGTTCTTACAACTACCTCAGGTCCAAGTATAAGATTCACATAAGCACAATCAAGTGTTCTAGGATTCCCATTCTTCTCAGAGTCAGCCACCATTTGTTGTGATCCACACAGTCTAATGCCTTTGCATAGTCAATGAAACACAGATAGACATTCCTCTGGTACTCTCTGCTTTCAGCCAAGATCCATCTAACATTAGCTATAATATCCCTAGTACCACAGTCTCTTTTATTCCCAGCCTGCACATCTGGTAGTTCTCTGCTGATGTACTGTTGCAATTGCTTTTGGATAATTTTCAATAGGATCTTGCTTGCATGTGATATTAATGATATTGTTCTATAATTTCTGCACTCTATTGAGTCACCTCATTTTGCCAATACCTAGTATGTCAATATTTATGTTTTCCATTTCTTTCTTAACAATGTCCAGTTTTCTTACATTCGTGGTTCTCACGTTCCACATTCCAGTCACTCGTGACTGCTTACAACTGTCCCTCTTCCTTTGTGTTTCCATATTTGAAGGCTTAGCCTCAGTTGCCATATCTGCTAGTCTAAGTGTGCTCTATTGTACACAGTTTTTGAAGCCCTGTTATTTTGGAAGAGGATGGCCAATCTTCCTTCCTAGTCTGTCTTAATTAGAATGCTCAGATTTAGAACAGTATCTGACAGACAAACATTTTACAGAAAGGAGCAGATAAAAGATATTTTCCCAGTTATATGTTGCTCCCCACCCTTGGCACGTGTGTCTTTACCCACCCCTTTCCCTGCTCCACCAGCATCCCCTCCACTCCTGCCTATGCCATTCAATACCTTTCTCCTCCAATCCAGCCCATGATATTTTGGCTTATGTCTCAAGTCTTCTCTGATTCTGAACACTTCACACTGCTGCCAATCTCTTATGCTGTGCCAGTATCTCTCTTGAGTTTAGGAGTCTCTAAGGCTTCCTATCTCAGATGGTTCTGAGGAAAAGTCCTTTGCCTTGAACTTCTGCACCAGAACTGACTTCTTGTGCCTTAGTGCCTCTTCTATTTGCAGCATGCTTCTGTCACAAGAGGATAGTTTCCCAGGAGAGGGTTATGTATTCTCTACATCTGGTATTTAAGTGTTGTTTTCTTGGCCTGAGGGTTGCAGGCCCAAGACCCCAAAACTATTTTAATACTCAGGCCCTGCACACAAGACTTCTGGAAATGTAGGCATACCTGTGTTGAATGAGGCTGAGGTGAAATCTCCCATCTACCTCTGCATTCTACCCCAAAACTATTTAAGTGCTCAGGCCCTGCCTGCCAGACTTATTAGAAATCACAATATAGCACAATTGACCTAGGATATTC